AAAAAAAAAAAGTAGAGCAAGAAGAGAAATAAGTTTATTGAAAAATACATTCAAAGAGTTGAGTGATATATCAAGAAAGAGTTCTTCCAAGATAAGTTTGCACATAAAATTGCTAAGTTTTGAACTAAGTTCTTCCAAGAGAGAAATACATTCAAAGAGTTGAGTGATATATCAAGAAAGAGTTCTTGAAAATTAACTTATAAATATATATTTTCCACATTTATTGAAAAATCGAGAAGTTTTTACTAGCGAAGAGGCTATCGTCGGAACTGGAATTCAAAAGGTGGATACGTTTAGAGGGAAGACGATTGGATTCCTAAAGCGAGTAACCATAATCACAAGAAGTGAAGTGACGTTATCAAACCGGAAACTAATTTCCTCATCCATTTACGTTTTTTAAGGAGTTCAAGAACAAAGGTAATTTTCGAAATTAATTACTACAAATCATAATTTGTATTATTACATGTTTTTAAATGATGACGATTTGTGCAATCGCTATATGTACATATGGATTGAGTATTTATGGGATAAATATATTTTCCGTTGCGTATAACCCGTACGGTACAGGCGAACCCAACACTAATTTGACTTCAATTGTATTAATTCGAGTTCAATTACACTATAATTGACCGAAAATGTATTAATTTGACTTTAATTGTACTAATTTGACTTCAATTGTACTAATTGTCGTTCAATTACACTATAATTGACCGAGAATTTACTAATTTGACATCAATTGCATTAATTTGACTTCAAATGTACTAATTCGAGTTCAATTACACTATAATTGACCGAGAATGTACTAATTTGACTTCAATTGGACTAATTCGAGTTCGATTACAATATAATTATCCGAGATTGTACTAATTGGACCTCAATTGAACTAATTCGAGTTCGATTACAATATAATTGACTTATATTGTACTAATTTGACTTCGATTACACTATAATTGACCGAGAATGTATTAATTTGACTTCAATTGGAATAATTCGAGTTCAATTGGACTAATTTGTGTTCAAATGTACTAATCTAACTTCAAATAAAATAATTCAGAGTTATTTTTATTTTTAAGTAAAAAATAAAATACAAGATAAATGAATTTAGAAACAGATTTTGAAAATGAATTTTTTTATTAACAAATAAATTTTTATACAAAAAAATTTTAAAAATAATTCGTTTAATAAAAAATATTTTTTTGTACAAAAAAAATTAAATATTTTATTTAAAAATAATTTTTATAAAAAAATTATTTTTTTATTAAAAACGGATTTTTAAAATCCGTTTTTAAAAGAATATTTTTTATTTAATTTTTTAATTTCGACTGTAAAAAAAAAACAGATTCTCAAACTCTATTTTTCATTTTTTTTTAAAAAAATGGAGTCTCAAAATCCGGCCGTTTGATTCATGTCCACACTATTTTTTTGTTGGCCACATATTTTTTTTTATTTTAATTAAATAAGCTACCCAAATATATTGGCCACAATGAATTGTTTTATATTTTCTATTGGGTAAAAGGGTGGGACGGTGGCCTTTTTAGTCTCCAAAAAAGAGCGAAAATAATAAAAATAGTATTAAATAAATAATAATTGGCCTCAAACCGAATTGTAATCTATTTTCTTTTGGATAAAAAGGTTGGCCTTTTATTAGCTTCCAAAAAGAGCAGCAAAAAAAAATAAAAAAAAAAAAATAGCATTTGTTCATCGATTTAGTTACTAAAATAGAGACATATTTATATAACACTTTTGCACCCTCTATATTTTTATTTATAATATAACTATTATAATACCCGCATATTACACGGATGCTTGTTAAAAAATTATTCTTAAATTTTAAATATAATGAGAAAATTATATTAATTTTAGTTAACTTTTTTACAAAAAAAAAAATATATTACTATATATTTTAGAATGATATGTGTTACTTATGACTTACATGTGTTATATTATATTAGTTTTTATAACTTATATCATATAACTACTTGAAATATAAATACATTAGTTGATAAATAATTTTATTTTTCTAATTAATATTAAAATAATTTTATTATTGTTATAAAGATAAGTATAATTATTTTTTATATATATACAATATGGATGTTAAATCGAAGCTCATCAAAAGAAGATTAATTTGATATATTACATATGTAAATCTCATAAAAAATACAAAAGTTAGTAACTTTTAATATATATATACAATTTAATAGTTATAATAAGGAATAATATTAAAATGTAATTAATACATGTAACATGACCTTAAATAATCAACATATTTATGTAGTCTGAACCTAATTATTTTTTGTTGGGAATTAAATTAAAATTTACCGAAGCCTAATAACAAATCATGTAATTTTGTCACATAGGATTCTGAAACACAAAAAACAGTCACGTAGGCTCAGCGCGTTCTGGTTTAATATATAGGGGATATTACCTAAAGAAGCTAAAAGTATTTCAATTATACCTAACATACATTTCTTAACTGTTATTATCTTTTTTATATGCATATTAAATGCTAATAAAATATTTAATTGAAATTAAAGATGCAGTTACCTAAAAAATAGGAAAATCACCAAGAAGGAAAATTGAATCCCATTTTGTGGACTCCTTTACACGGAACGTTTATTCTCCAAGAGACCAACTTACATCAAACTCTTTATCTATCTCTCTCTTTTCCCAAAAGCCGCGATTAAAAATCAGATTTTATTCTCCATTTTTCAGACGATCAAACAGAGAAGAGAACTTCATACTTTTCCAAAGAAACTCTCCAGTTAAAAAAAAAAACTCGTACGCTGATCTGCATCGTTTAATTGCTGATCTTCAACCCTTTTTTTTGTTTGTGGGAATTGTTGATCTTATTTTTTGTTCCCAATTTTTTTGATTGTGGGAATTTCAGATCATCACCGATCGGGTTTTTTCTGCTGGTGATGACGTCCTCTAAAGAGGGTTTCGGCGTCGCCACAATCGGAGGGAGATGATTGGTTGGTTGCAGGGAATTTGAATTCTACTTTAATTTGTTTAGAGTTTTGGATTGTGTGTGATTAGTCATTACGTTGAAATTCGTAGACATTGGATCAGAGTATATGTACAGTATATGACTTGCGTCCTCCCGAGTTGTACAGTATATGATTCGGAATCCTGGTCGGCCGCAGTTGGTGATGGAGTATGCGAGTAGTCGACATGCGAATAGTTTCGATCGGATATGTTTTCAATGTTTATTTGATGTTTACTTACAGTTTATTTGATATATATAGTCAATTTATGTTGTTTTTCGATTTTATATTAATGTTTTTTGTTTCATTTCTATTTACAATAATAACTCATCAAATTTACAGTTTATGTTGTTCCACTATGAAAGATATACTGAAAATATACTGAATTATAATTATTATAAAAACAACATACAGTGAAAATATACTGAAATATCTTGATTATACAAGAAACATACACTAAAACATTAAGTGAACATTAAAATAGAGAGAGAGAGAGAGAGAGAGAGAGAGAGAGAGAGAGAGAGAGAGAGAGAGAGAGAGAGAGTAAATGTAGTGAACACAAACCACTGGGCATTAATGTAGTTAATTTATCTTTCAGATAAATATACAATTAATTTAATGGGTGTAATATTGTTGTAATCTTTTATCTCGTATGAGAGAGAGAGAGTAAATGTAGTGAACACAAATCACTAGGCATTAATGTAGTTAATTTATCTTTTAGATAAATATACAATTAAATTAATGGGTGTAATATTGTTGTAATCTTTTATCTCGTATGAGAGATAAAAATTTTCCTTATAACTATGAATATGTAACATCCATCCCCATTTTGTAATTGACCACAATTCTCCAAGAACATGAAAATAAAGAGAAGAAAATAATTTTTTTCCATTAAAATCTTTTAAAATCTTGAAAAAAATATTCATATCAGCAAATGTGGTCTTAATTTCAAATATTTGTATTTTGAATTAATTAAAATACAATCCTTCAACTAATATACTTGTATGTATATAATATATATAGAGAAAGAAAGACTAAAGGCTTGATTGTTTATAATTTAATTTACTCACATTTATTTTATACTCAAAATCCAATTCAACCTCACTATTTTTTTTGTATAATTAAATAATGCAAATCGAGTCTTAAATATCACATCACCTTAATTCACTATTAATCAACTGACATAATTTTAACTAAAACAATCATTTATCTCTTATTTTTACATCAAATTAATTTTAATAATTTTGTGTACAGAATTTTAGTACAGATATTTGTGCTGAAAAATAAGAAAAACAAAACAATTCAACCCAAAATAGTATTGATAAGAAAAAACAGGGAAGAGTTTAAATAATATCTAACCAATAAATCTGGCGATTTGTTTCATATATATCAAAATTGTTGGACAATTACTATTTTTTAGGACAAAAAATTGGCGGAAGAATTTATCTAGATTAATGGCGGGCAAATATGGCGGCAGATGAATTTATCTAGATTAATTGGCGGGAATCTTCTAAACTGTTATTCTTTTAATATAATTATAAATTTGGATTTGGGCCTATTAATGTAATTGGAATTGCAAAATTGTTCTAAACCAAATGCCCAATGATTTTAAAAAAAAAAAAAAAAGAAAATTTCGTACACATGGCATGATTTATTTGATTTTTTTGGAGAGCGTGTAGCAAGTTCCAACCACAAGCATAACAAGAATGAACACACACTGTATGGTTCCCATCCATTTTACTTGCTATTTATTTATGGTTCCCATCCCCATTCTCCCTACTATTAGAAGGAAAAAAAGAAAACTTGAAATGAGATGCTTGACCATAAAAAGAGATGTCCAAACACAATACCGTTGTCAAGTTCTAAGTGCAAACTGAGGTTCTGATCGTGATACTATCTTGGCATTTAACAACAACAAACCAACTATCACGCCTGCCTCTCATTCCTTGCCCCAATCAACGCCTCCTACGAATACCTTAAGGATTAATAAAATGCTCTTGACTCTCCCAATAAGGTGCAGGGAGGGGCGACTCGTCAGGATCACGTTCCATTTCATCAGCAAATAATTTATCCTTTTCCGGAAGCATCTGCAAGACAGGGAAGGAGTCAGTACTAACTATAAATGTGTGAACGAACCGTAGGAACTTTGATAAAGATGCACGTGCGTTGCATGGTTCATCTATAAATTATGAGTCACAAAAATAGTGCAAGCCAAATCTGTAAGACAAGTAAACCCGGGCACCAAATGCATATGTATGTATATACATAAATTACCAAGAGTTGTTTGCGGGGGTTCAAGTTCATCTGCAGATGACTCGGCCAGGTGAGCGTGACCAATTTGCTAAAATCGTCTCCAAAGGGCTCAGACCCCTCCATCGACACTAAGCTCCCAACAAAGTCAAAGGCTGAAATATACAAATATGCCTCGCGACCTTCATACGTCCTAATAACTCGACTCTCCAGAATGTCGTACAATGCTATCTCTGAAGGCGTCTGCAGCAGCATATATTTCCCTCCCCCCACGGAGTTCAAGCAATAACGGAAATCAATACCAAAAGAAACCAGACATGAACAAATCCAACGACCATTCGCTTCCATCGTCCACAAACGGTATGGACTATACATACTCTTTATATCAGAAAGTAAAGGGCCCAGCGTCTCATAATCATTCTCATCCTTGGCGGTCATATAATAATAATCCAGCACCGCTAATTCCCCCATCCAGTTGGTAACAATAAGCTGCCAACACCCAACGGTAATTAGCATAGCGACATCTTCCGGGTCAGAAGATAGTTGAGATGGGAAAGATAAAAGCTTCAGCTTGCTGGTTTTGACATCAAATGACAGGATAAAGGGATTCCCATCATAATCGAGGACAGCCCAGTGGGGGGAATTCCCGACAAACACATTGCAGACGGTGGTTGGGACCAAGTTCACATGGCTTGAGGGGTGATAGAAATAAGGACAGTCGGTGAGGTCAATCTCCTCCCAGGAGTTAATATCCGAGGACCAGACCTCGGCGAAAGTTGGTTCCCATTTCTTTGAAATGATTCTAACCACCTTGTACACGTCAGACTCTTCGTCCCAGCAGAAGGCGAACGTGGCCTGAATATTGGAAAAGCGCTCGAAAAGGCGGATGCCCATGGGGAGTTTCTTTGAGAGCCCAGTGGATGGGTTCCATATCCAGATGTCATTGGGGGTTGGCCAGCTACAGTACCTCCAGTTTCCAGTGGAGCAGATCAGACCATTGATCGAGCCAATAATCAATGTGTCCGGGGAAAAGCAGACGAGGCCTGATTGGGTGGGTTTTACTGGGGCCTTGTCTCTTTCCAAACTCGGGACTGATTCGTGGAAAAGGAATTGGGGATCGGATTCAGACCGGGCATGGTCGAGCTGTGCAGAGATGAATCCCTGTGAGGTGGTTAGGGAGAGCCAACTCCTGCATACGCATCTGCAGACGGCGATGTGCTTTGCGTGTAGCCGGAGAAGGACCATGGATGTTTCTCTGTTCGGCAGGCTCCATTCTTCTTTTAAATTAGGGTTTTCTTTTATTGGGCAAAAAGATGTAAATTTGAACCTGCTGTCAAGACCCCCTTTATTGTAACCACTGTCACCTCCAATTGATATGGGAGAAGTCCGAGAGTCTGCCCATCTTTTTTCTTGAACAAAAGAAGCCTGAAACACAAGAATCATGCTGAGGCAAGAATCATCACGGATCACTCAATTAAGAGGCAACAGCATTAACGTTTAAAAAGAAATACCCTCTTCCTTCTAACTTGATTTCTGTATTTTTGAGTAGGCCCAAATTTCTTAAACACATCTTCAAGTGACGTCTGCATAGCATTCTTTGGAGGCCTCTTCACATATTCTGAGCAACAATGGGCTGCATACAGCACAGGATACAAGTTTAGAAAAGAAAAAAAAAACGAAAAAGAAAATCAACCGAAGACACCGGAAGGCAGATTCAACTAAAGACAATTACGTGAAACATGAACATGCATATAAAACAATTCTGAAATCAATCCTTCACCCTTTTTATTGTGTCCACTGTTTAGTGGTGCTTTTCCAGGATCCCCTGGAGGGGGAGAAAAACTTGCAGCGGCTCCCTTGAGATGCATCAGCTGAAAAAATAATAATAATAATAATCAAAAAAAAAAAAAGAATAGGAGCCAGTAGACAGACAAAACAGGGAATCAGAAACACTCACACCTACCTAAATTTATTTAGCAAGGAATGGGCTACAAAAATCGGATATACATAACTCAGCCTGTGTTTATTGCATTATGTCTTGATTTTATAACTAACGTTCAATGGCAAGTCAAAATGGATAAAACAGACAAAAGAAAAATAAATCTAAGAGAGAGACTCGTTTCTTAAAGCTGGACATCACTACGTACAACAGACGCATATAACTTTTTTGAAATTTGATCACGTTTGGCACTGAATTTAACCACCAGCTCTTTATCATCCCGTACCTTATCAATGAAATAGGATACTTGAACTTCTATTCCACCAAAGAACAAAATGTCGCCATCCTCTGATGAACTGTAAACTTCATCTGCAATGGCTGATTCCTCTGCAGAAAATTAAGTTATGTTAACTCAGAGAGCAAATGATAGAACAAGAAAAGAAAAATGTACAGAAGGGGTAGGGTTACCTGGTGTTGTGGTCGGACGCACCACAACATCACTTCCTAAAGTTGGGTTCCCGTTGACAATATATCGTAACTGGTCGCTTAAAACAAAGTAGCCATTATCTTCTGGAGCAAGAAGAAAGACTTGACCGGAATTTTAACTACATTGTCATGCCCCACGAGATGGCCAGTGACAACAACATAAACTTCACCTTGAAGAGTCTCCGATGAATCCACCGACTTGATCTCAACTCTTAAGTCCCCATAGTTGAGCGAGGCAATCTTCTCTTTGATGGCCTTCATGGTTAGTTAAGTCACATCAAACACCAATGAAAAAAGAATTTAAAGTAACAAGGAGCCATCCAAGCTCGATATTCTAATTCAAATCAGATAACACCTCCTCAATGCACTAAATGTAAAACTTTGAAGAGGAAATGCCAAACTTAAGAAATATGATTGTTCCATCATCTAAATTCTCTCCTTCCTCCATGTAATGTAACCTACCTACCAAATCTACTTCAAATACAACAGAATAAACGGCCCTAGGAATAATAAGGAACAGGAAAACAACGGTAGTTTACTTGACAGGTTGTGGTGACACTCATGGAGCCATCCTCCTCGAAACGTTGGATGGTACTCTTGTCTTGATAGAATTTATGAGCCAACTCCGGCGAGCTATGCAGAATGGTATAGTATTTCTCTACAAATACTCTCCCAACCTACCGTCCATAAGAAATAACTAACTCAAAGCTAGTACGAATAGATAAAATATAATTTTGAACTTAAAAAAAAAAAAAAAAAAAACTCACAGTTTGTGTAGAAACTGGTTGCTGAGATCCCACTGCCGCTGCCATTTTCGGATAAACAATCTTAACTTCAAGCAATCATCAGCTTACAGAGAAAAAAACATGAGAAATAAGCTCAATAACTATCTGCGTGTTACGGAAAGGGAAGGATTAAGGATGGTGATGATCGGATAAACGAAAAAAGGCAGGATCTTTGGTGCCGGAGCTCGAATTGGGCAGAAGTATAGAACCCTAGATCGATCGAACGTATTGAGATATATTTTCTCTGTAAAATATATTGGCCAGGCCACAATGAATTGTTTTATATAGTGCCGGAGCTCGAATTGGGCTGCCTTTTTAGTCTCCAAAAGAGCGAAAATAATAAAAATAATATTAAATAAATAATAATTGGCCTCAAACCGAATTGTAATTTATTTTCTTTTGGATAAAAAGGTTGGCCTTTTAGTTTCCAAAAAGAGCAACAAAAAAAAAAAAA